ATTGCACCTACCATGCCTAGAAAGGGCCATAAATTATGTACACTTTGTTGTTCCCTCTTATGTGCTAAATACTGCTCATTCCCATTTATGATGCCTGGGAATCCTAACGGTGCTCCTTTAGGATGTCTTGTTAAAATCTAAAAGGGGTTGGCAACAAATGAATTTACTTTAATCTCCCAACTTTCCTATCTTTTAAGGACAAAGAGAACAATGGTTTATGTTAGAAGGTGCACTAAAATCAAAATGTGTAAAGGTAAAGGCAATTGTGCGCTCCTGCTAAAAATACAATCATTTAAAGTAACATGTAGTTTGTGATGCTTATTTATATAAGGAACATAGTTAGCTGCAACTAACGATTACTCTTAATTACCAAGTCATTTCAGGATAAATCTTTTAGTCCAATAAGTAAGTGGAAGGAAAATGGCTCGAGGTTTGAAAAAGTAAGAAATAGCAGATTTATTTCTTTAAAGGACGAATGCGTCTTTTGCACGTTTTAATGTCATCTGTTCCAGTAATACATTTACAGGCCATACAAAACTATGAACTTTTATTTTCTTATTTAAATCTTTGCTTTTGTGATTTTACCGAGGCCTGTGTGAATTGAGCCATTAGATGGAAATATTGTTGCCCGACCCAGTCTGTCCACTAAACACCGTGTCTCTGTCAGATGTTGCCTCTGAATTATTCATGGAGCTGCTCATGTATGTAATTTTTGTGTCTGTAATTTCTGTGCTGAGTGTCTAACACTCACATTGCTGAAAGCATTTGCTGTAGGTGCTAAAGATACGTATGACTGCACAGTTATACACTTCACACCTGCACCTTTACACTTTGAATCAGACCTGTCCTCTGACTTAGATCAGTGCTGACAATAAAAGTAACGCCTGTAATGGAATGCAAATGACCAACATACTTACCCAGCTATAAATACTAATTAACTACGGTGTTGATGGTGTGTGTTAGGTGGGGGTTGTTTCTATAGTAGATGAACGATGATGAAATCGTGAAACAGACTGTGGATCATCTTAGATTTATTCAGCCATGGTCAGACAACATAGAAACACAACACACATGGCTGAAAAAGTGTAGACCATCGCTGACCCATGCTGACCAAGATCTCACAATCGCTTGCAATCATAGGCAAAGTGGCAAAGTCTTCATCTTCACAGTGTTGCTTATATTCTACTTGAAGGTACATCCTACAAATTCTTGGCTGCTTTGTTACATCTCTAAAAGGCTAGAAAGAAGACATAACCTCGACTCGGAAATATCAGACAAATACATTTCTTCAGTCTCAGAGTCACATTTCCTTTTCAGCTCACAACAGACTCTTCAATCCAAATATAACTCTGCTGCTATGAGGTCTCTTACACATATGTATTACAGCCTCACAAATCTAAAAGAAGAATTACTCTTAGATGGTTGACACAATTCAAAGATATATCCACAAAATTATCAAGATGAATGAATCCATGAAAATACGTACTAACAGTGTATAAAGAACCAGTTTTATGCAGGACATTGAACCCCTTTCATCATGCACAACAGTTCTGCACTATTCCTGACATTGTGCAGGATGGATACAGGAGACTTTATGCCATTTTTTTTTGTGTCCTGTTATTAAAAAGGCAATATCAAAACATTGTGAGCAAAGCAGGTAAAATCCTGGAACATTTACAAAGATTCCTCCGCTTGCACATGCTACCGATTATTTCAAGTTGTGAGCTTGTGTTTGACGCTGACAATCTCTTGCTGTGAGGTACATATGAAAGGCTGAATAAGTTCCTGAAAACACCAGCGTCTGAATGTCCTTAGATTATTAAGAAAATGACAGGATTTTGTTCTACATGGGGAAGGGATCAATACCACATTGATGGATGTGCTGAAGGGTTCAAACAAAGTGTGTCACCTGTAGGGATGTGTATGATTAGACACTAGTAAATTATTGGGTTTGTCAGCGTTAATGCGTTAATTGCAGTGTGTCTAAGGCCTGAAATAAATGCATTTATGTTTTTAAATTGCATTTAATTGCGTGCTATTTTGTCCCTTTCAGCAAACCGAAGGCACTCCCTTTAGTCCCTTTCAGCACATCATAGTTACAGCACCACAGAAACGCTCTGCAGTCGCATTGTTGGAGAATAAGACCATTGCGTCAACATAGTGGAAGGCTCTGGAGGACGTCCTCAGATTCCTCAGAAGAAGCTGTCTCCTGCCCATAGTCATGGTTTCAGAACACCCTCGTTTTGCCAGTGCAGCACTTATTTAAACAGTAAATCTTAGAGTGCATTTCTTTACGTTCATTTAATTTCCAAATCAAAACATAAGATTGATTCACATTATTCATATGGACTATATAGAAATCAATCTCAATTACCTACTGAGATCCTGCATTCAAACGCAATTAAAAAATGTATCGTTTGGCAGTCCAATTAAGCCCACAATGTTGATAAATGTTGTGCCTAAGCTGTAATGCAGCCACCCACCACTAGTCAGGGCTGAAGCTCCAGTTAATGAGCCTGCTCTCCCCACTCTACAGCCTGGATGTAAACCAGCGAAGTGGATGGATGGTATGCTGTAGGAGCAGTGCAGGTAAACTGGCATTTAAAAAGTCAACCTGAGCAATAACGATATTCAGCACAAACATGGATGGTGGACCTTCACCTGCAAGGAGGACTTAAGGCTGGTGGAGCTAGCACTGAAAACGCGAATTGAGGTATCATCTTGGAGAGGACAAAATGGCAGATATGATACTTGTGGTACCGTCAGATTAAGTTCTACAGGTGTAAGACAGTTTTTCTATTATCAGGTTTGCTTGATACTCTTTGACTCGTGGTTTTTTCGGCTCCTTTCCAAGAGCAGTGTGGCCAATAATGGCTGTTTTGTTTAGTGGTAGATCCACCTAAAGTACATAACATGAATTATTCATCCTGCGCAGGAAAGCAATTGAAGGACAAACAGTTTACTGACTTGAAGATGCACGTAAGGGGTTCCTCGTCAATGTAACACTGCATATTTAGTGAGTGTGACATGTTTTATTGATGCAAACGTCCCACCCTCACTTACTTCAGGAGGCAACGACCTGACGAAATCTTCCTCATGCTTCATTTCACCGCTGTCACACTGGCATGCAAGAAAATATCAACGCTTTTATAGCGTCTCATTTCCCTGTCTGCATTTGATGTTTTCCTGTGTTCTGCACAAAACCTGCAGAGAATTGTTGTTACGCTTTTGTTCAAGCTTGTGTTTAGTGAACAGAATAGATGTGCTGCTAAGGTCAAAATGTTGTTGAATCCTACCCACCTTCCCTTCATCTGGTGGCACCGTCTGAACTTGACTCAGGCTTCACTGGTTGTCACTATCACCGTGTTGTGAAGTTTTCTGCTGACTCAAAAGCAGAACTTCTACTTGACCCTTCTAACACGTTTCCAATCCAGTGGAGCTGCTCTTTGATTGTGAAGCCATGCTTATTCAAGGATATGACCTGCACAGCACAGACAGTGGAGCCGTGCTAAGAAGAAGGCTTTTAGATCAATGAGTCTCCCCTGAGAGCTGCTGACTTTTTGCACCAACAATAGTGCAGGAACAGTGATTTTATTACAGACAGGGTTTAAACCCATCAGCTTACTGTACAGGGATAGTAAAGAAAAGACATCCTATTGGTTTCAGGACACAGGAATAAACATGTTATAGCTATATTCCTCCTGTACCCTTTATTTGTGAGCTTTTGTCCTACTATGTAACAATGCAATCCCTCTCAGATGCTTGGCATACACATTAGCGGTGTCTGAAACTTTTGTCCTTGTTTACATCAGTTTCTGGTCTCTAATTCTTCACCATCCTCCAAAACACAACACATAACTGATACTGCCATCAATTCAAACTCAAAATACCTTATTTTTCTAACTAGGAGGAATTATTAATTATTAATTAGGAATTATGATTTAGAAGCTTCCTTGTTTCTTTTTTCATTTTATTTAATATTTATTGTACCAGGAATATATCTTGCCATTCCCTGCACATAATCTATTCTGTTAAGAAATGTATTTTGTATGACCTTCTTCTGCTTGTCTTTGTGCTGCTTCAACCCCCGAATTTCCCCTCTGGGGATCTTATCTTATATTCTCCTTGAGATACAAAATATCTTTTACAAGAAAGTCCTGGCAAAGACGGCAGCAAGAGAAAAGTTTTACACAAATAAAGAACAGATGACGAGCAGCGGAACTTAAATCAAGCATTAAGTAAGCAGCTTTCAGCAATAAAACGTGCATACACAATCCGGGTTTTAATCTCTTCCAAGCTAATAAAATGCTCTAGTTTAATTATGTCATGTAGCCTTTCACTCAAACACAAAACACCTGAACATTTCCAGATATTTGTTGTAATGTGTCAAAGCAAACAGCAGAATTTTAAACGCAACTTTATCTAGACTTTTCCTGCCAACCACCTAATTCATTCGTGCAAGAAGTCGATATAGCGGATGTGTTAACGCACTATACGCAGTAATATTCAGGAAAAGTTACTGTAAGCGAGGGTGCGGGGTGATGACGTTTGTATCCTGTGACCAGAGCATGAGTAGTTAGATCTTTGTGTATGTAATGAAGTTGCTTCATTCTCCTATCTGCTCTCCACTTTGTTCTTTTCCATTTATTAGTTGATACTGTGAACACATCAAAGTACATGAAGCATTGATATGAAGCAAAAACTCCCACCGCTTGTTCAGTTTTTTTTGCTTAGTCTGCCATCTTTGTCATGGAGTCCAAATTGCTGAGTTCCAGGTCCAGGTTCTGCCCATAGACACAATTACACACTTATTTAATCCCAAAAAATCGATGCTGAAATTCACTCAGGGAAGTTTTTATCTGTGATAGAGAACAATAAATTATGCTCTTTGTCAGCCCTCAGGATGATTCCAGTACTGTACTAAGCTTCTACTTTTTTAGCAAAACATAGTCCAACATCTCTTTTTTTTAACGACATGAATCCTCCTGTGAATTGATCAGATGCTGGACAAACTGCGGGACCGGTGGACCAACACGGGTCTCTGGGAGAAGCTGGAACTGAAGAAAACTGTCATCACAGAGCCTCGCGGTGGAGCGAAGGGGGATTTTGACGAACTACTTCATACGTATTATGATGCCATCAAGTACTGTGAGGAAAGAGGTGAGACTCGTACGATGCACATGGAGGCTTGCAGTGAATTGATTCTTTTGCATTTTAATTTATGATGCAATGTTTACCTATTTCATTCACTGTGTTGTTCTATGTTGTGTGTATGGTGTCTTTATTTTAGATGGTGCACTGCTGATTGCAGTCTGCAGAGGGAAAGTGAGTGAAGGACTAGACTTTACAGATGACAATGCTCGAGCCGTGGTCACCATTGGAATTCCTTTCCCGAACATCAAAGACCTCCAGGTTAGTCAAATTAAGATGGTCTGCAAATATTTTGCTGAGACACTTGTAGATATGCTAACATTCTAACAAGTCTCATATTCTAGTGTCACAACATTGAACATTTCTTTTTGAGTCAATCAAAAAAAAAAACGTTTTAACTTTATTAAAAATTATTCATCAACCAACCATCGAAACCATCGAAATGATTTTGTTATAATTAAACTGAAGATGACTCTGAATAAATTTTATTAAATCCCTGTTGTTCCGCTTACATCAAATTACTGAAATTCATCGAATTTAGGGCATCATGTTAGTAAGTAACGCTAAATTATCTCAGCTCAGGGTATCAGTATAGCTGTTTTCACACATGCACAAATCTGCATGATATTTCCTGAATTTTTTCGGGGTGAGCTACACATGTGAACACAAATCACAGAATTTTCCCCTTTGACTTTATCCGGACTTATCAACCCCTGCCCCTCTGGAAAACTGCAGAATAATCTTTAGGGAACATTCAATTGGATAGTGATTACATTAACGATGAGTTTTGCCATTAAGCTTAATAACCACTCGCGTAAGAAGTGCTAACCTATTCCTAATTTGACCAAACGTAATATGTTCACAAATCCATCATCAAATGGAACCAATATAAAGTTTAACTATCGCATATATAAATACTTTTTAGATTTAGGCTGCTACCTTTAAAATATGTTACTCATTTGTTGGTAGACATGTTTTATTGTCCATACTACTGGTATATGGATAAACAACACTTTCTTTAAAATGCCCACATATACAGATACCATGAACACAAAATGTATACCTTTCAGATATACTCAGGCACCCACACACACACCAGACACACACACACACACACCAAATAAGAGCATCTCTTTTTGGTGATCCGTAAAAGAAAATCCCAAAGCGATGTTGCTGTGTCTGCCCCGTCCTTAGCAGATAAAGTTGACCTTTAAGTTTGACTCTCTCCCCGCCTCCCTCCTCTGCTCCCCTTTACTCCTCCACGTCCTCCTGTCAGAGCACGACGGAGCTTTCACTAACCTGATCTGTCAGTGTGGGGAGATGTGTGGGTGATTGAAGCTTCCTAGACCCTTTCACCTGAGCCAAAGCTGTCAGCTTCACCACCATCAGCTCTCAGGATGTTGATCCTTATTACTAACTAGATGAATTTCTTTAATGTTATAGTTTGTATTAAAACGGCTGCTTCTGAACACGTACATGGTCAAAAGTGTGCCGAGGCCACGGTGATGATGTTCATTCATTTGCACACATTGCAACTAGCGATGGCAAGAATATTTTTTAAAGTTGAAGCTAGAATTAAATGTTTGTCAAAGGGGAGAGCGTTATCAATAGGGTCAAACAAAAATCCCTGCTGATGCTGCATCCAATCATTGCAATGAAGACTTACATAGTGGTTTGTTGCTAGTCCAGGTAGTGCACACTACACAATGGTGTATCCTGAAGTCCCCAATCAATAAAACCTTCTTGGTTGTTTACATAACAAATGCCTCATAGGGGCTTTCAGGACTATCCCCAAAATGAAATTACACCTGATGTTAAGTCAACAAGCCAACAACTTGTCAGCAAGGTTTTAACTTTTTTTTTATTTTCGCAATAGGACATTTTCAAATAGCTGTGTTTTACAGCAACAGGTATTATGAGAATATTTACTGAAATACAAGACGTGAATTCATTGAATTCAGTATATTTTATTCTGTTCTTCGCCTGCATGTTTTGCTGTCCTGCCAATCCATCAGACTGCTCTTTAATTCTACGCATTGTACAATTGGTACATTGGTACCATGTAGAAGGTATGTCCACCTTCATCCATGTGATGCAGCATATGGCAGAAAACACATAAAAGAAGAACTTTATATCCTCACTACCTTGTTAAAGTCAGTGTACAGTGTCATGAAAGGGATGTTTCCGTGTAACTCTGCTGCATCAAACTTGTAAAATAAGGTGCCTGATGCAGAATAAAACAGGAGCTGTGTGGATGGAGAAGACCACCGGGGGGAGGATGGAGAGAGCCAGAGCTAGTTAGGTAGAAGGTGGAGCTGACCGAGCGTGAAGAGACGGTGAATTCCTAATGACAGATTCTGTGCTCCACATCAACATCCTTTGTTTATATGTTACAAGTGCTGAGCTCCTCTGAGAGCTTTCCGTCTCCTGCCACATGTTGTCTTAATTGTGCAGTTAGATCAGGAAAGGCTGGCGGTGGCAGCTGCTGACAATTTAATTTTGTGCTGCCTCTTAAGGCACACCAGACCTTTAATCTTTGTTTTTTATATACCATTGAAATACAGAAAAAAATTAATGAATAAAAAAATTACGCTTTGGTTGGAATTTAGGAACCGTTCATTTGTTATTCCACTTTCATCTGAATTTTCAAACCAAGGATATCAACCAGTCTCCATACAATAGCAATGTTGGAAAGATTGTTATTTTCATACAATACATGTAAAGAGCTACATGCCTTCAAAAAAAGTCAGAAATACTTCACTATGGACACAAGTCTTCAATGCAAAATTATAAGGTATTCAATTTTATAACCTTATTTTCTGAGTTTGGCTTTTATGTCTAGTTTGGATCAGCCACCTAGTGGGTTTCTGATGGAACCCAGCCAGATCTGCTGTTTTTTGAATGCTCTGGCTCGCTGCTCTGTTAATGCGTCCTCTGCAAAGCTCTGTTGCGCCTGTAGCTAGCAAGTTAACTGTAAGCGATCAAGTGTTGTGTGTGTGAATGATTGGCTAATGCAAGTTTTCTGAGAAGTGGTTGTTAGAAGAAAGGAGTTGGAGCCTGTACCTCGTAGGGCTCTCAAATCTTAAATAAATTTGAACATTCAATCGAACGAGAAAGTTAACACGCGAAATGTGAAATATACAGTCTATCGGCGCATCATGCTGTCTGAAATAGTTTTCAGTATGATCCAGCAGAGGGTGCTATCAGTGTAACTTGACCATTGCATGTACTCTTGACCTCAGTAAATCAAAAGCATAGACTGTAAAAATTAGGTCAAAAGCAATTCAGAAGATGCAAACTCTCAGTCGGGAGACTCCTCTCTCTGCAGACAACAGCCTGCTGCTTTGGCTGAGTGAAATGGGGCACGCAAGATACCTGCAATTCTCCAAGCTGACTCGCAAATATTTGTGTGTACCACAAACATCTGTGCGCTCTGAACAGTTGTTCTTGTCAGCAGTAATTAAAAAGAGAGTCTCACTCGATCCTGATCAAGGTAATGGACTTAGAGAAGAGTAGAAGTTCAAGGCAACTTATATAGGGTAATTTCCTTTTTTAATTACCTAAAACGGCAAGCTAACTCCTACAAACTATCGTAATTACACAAATACATTTGCAATATTAAATACACTTGGTAATAAACGCACAGTATCAAAGCAATAACAAAATATTATGTCAAGGCTTTTAATTGTGGCCACCTTCAGGCACAATTTAAATCAAAATTAATATATTTGCATTTTTTCTTAATCCACTGACACGAATGACTTTGAAAGCCGTGCAGCTAGCCCTCGTAGCCTAAGCTGGGATATACTGTATAATGCTGCCGCACTCTGAGATACAGAAATAATAACTTCTGGAAAAGGTCACACACAATGTTGATACTTTTCGATACCACGTGTTGAAAAAATATACAATTTCTGTTATGTTAATCACCTCCATGCACTAGTGCTAACATGTGCACATTCTCTTAAGAGTACACATGGACCCAGACATATTAATTCATTCATTCAACGCCGCACTCACACGGCAGCACCCCATTGCTAGGATAAGAGGTGTACGCCCGGCTTCTCTCCATGTAAACTGCTCCAGCACTTTACATGCCTGCACGGCCTGCATTCCCAGACGGGCATAACTCTCCGACGCTCCAGCATAAGCACATAGCATGGCATTTTATTGGCCTGTTGTGTTATTGTGACAAAGATCAAAGGTTGAACTTGAAGAGTCCTCTGCAGAGAAAGCCCTGCCAAAAGGTGGAATTACATTTATGTTGAGATTTTTCCAACGGCATGTTTTACAATGAACAGTCCTGTCCTGCGTGAGTGAGTCAAACAATAAGCGGCTTTAACAAGCAATAAAAAGACACTTACAACTGATAAGGCATCTCTGTAACTTTAACGACAGGCTCAGCCAACCTCTCGCTGCTGCTCCTTATTAAAGACAACCACAAGAGAAGTTTTATTCTAAGGCCTGCTAGAATGTAAAACGGGTGGATGAAGGGGATTTTAGAGGAATGTTGGAGAGTTTATGGAAATCATCAAAAAGAGGGGGTGATGGATGCTCCAGGCTCAGTCAGAACACTGTACACATGGCTATATCATCAGCCACAGAAGGAGAGCTATATAATACATGATCTCAACTTTTACTGTCCTTGTCAGCACAACAGGCCTGGTTTAGATGGACGCCTGAGTCGACATTCTTTGTTATTAATGCACGTTCAGCCCGTTATTTACCCTTAACAGCACATAGACATTTACACATCATTAATTTCTATGTTTACAGTGTATCGTTTGCCCCAGTACCAAAAAACGTACACTTACGTTATATATTCCAGTTTATTGCAACTTCTTTCTTCTACAACAGAAACAAAAGATTAAATTCAGAACTTTATGATCAAATATTAAGACTGTTAATTTAGTCAGGCATTCAGTGCCAGCTATCTGGCCTCGATGATGATCAACATTTTTTTGTTCAAAATTTATTTGGGGCTTTTTGCCATTATTCGACAATGGGTAGAGAAGGGAACCGGGTAGAGAGAGTGGGACAAGACATGGGGGAAAAGGAGCCACAGGTCTGACCCTAACCCGGGCCGCACATATGCAGGACTACAGCCTCTGCACAGCATAAAGAAACAAAGAGGTTGATAAGGTTTAGCCCCCTTAAGTAAAGTTTGAATTCCAAGTCCGAACAGTTTTTAGCTTTTAAGAGAAAGCTGGAGAGAACGGGATGACACCCAGCAGCTACTTTGATACATGGGGCCCCTGCTCTGCCATAAACCAATTAGGTGTCCCCACTCCCAAGCAGCTTTGAGATCAAGTGACCAGGACCCATATGCGGCTCAAGACCATCTTGTTGCACCCCGCTCCTTATTGGCCCTTTAGGACAAACAACACTTTGACAAAACAAAATAACCAAAGGCTACAGTTAAAAACAACCAAATCTAATGGACCAAGGACACACAACGGACCAAGTCACTCTGTGAAAATAGAACTTTAAACTAACAAAAATCAAATACATAACTAAATAGCAACACAACATCTAGAACTTTTCACACTCCTGAAGCCACTCATAGTGAAATGTTTTGTACCTCAATCTGGGAAATGAGGCGCCTTCTTTGACCCTAAGAAACAACCCGGCAGAGGACAAGAGGAAAGGGACAACTAGCACAGGAAATGCATACAGCTGTAACACATTGAAGATACAGTTTAAAATAGAAAGGGAGACTGTTCAATGTAGTTTGCATTAGGTTGTCAAACACTTTGAAACTTCAATGCTTGTCAACACTCGTGTTTAAAAACAATATAATGTCAGATTTTTTGATGACTGATTTGAAAACTTGATGTAAAGTCATACTTGTAACCCTAAATTGCTGCAAGTGAGAGAGAGAGAAAGCGCAGTGGTGGTCCATTGAAATTTAAAGTTTGACAAATATTGACATCTGAAGTCCTTTTTGGCATCTCATAAAGATTTGAAAGTTACATAGATTTTTTGGCTAATAGAAAGCCGAGGAGGTTACACTGTGATTCAGTGAGTTAACCAAAAACTCAAAAAACAGGAACGTAGCCTCAGTGACATCAGCCGTCAGATTTTGAAGAGGCATTTTGAAGCCCAACAATGGCAGAGTATTTGAACTGCCGATTCCAAATACGGTAGCTTTAAATCAATCTAGAAACGGGTGAAGAGGTGGAGCTGAAGCCTCCTGGCAAAAAGCTCCTCCTGTTATTCAAATCAACCATGCCGCCAATACTGCAAACATATGTATAACTCTTAGCCTTGATATAATCAAAACAGATGATTTAGAAGCATACAGTTTTTTCCAATAGAGAAATAAGCTAGTGACACCAAAACTGTTTTGTACCAGGCTGTGGACATTTTGATATGGGTCCTAATAAGGATTCTTAGGTTTTTAAAACAAGTGGACACATGCAAATTGCAAATCATTTTACTGTTAACAATTTCACAAAGTCATTGTTAGTGATAAAATGACAGACACAAGACTGAGATAATGGAAACATTTTCTCAAGATGGAGACTACCCTATGTCTCATACTGATCTCTGTTCTTTGCCAATTCAGATTTTTTTTTACTTTTCTCAACACTAAGCCTAAACCTTAACATACAACTTAAGTTAAGTTTTCCCTTTAATCAACTTTACAAGAGTGCAACTTCAAATATAATGATGAAAGAAGAAGTTGGATTCAGTTAGTGGCTTTGGTGATAGTTGATCCTTGTGCACGTTGGAAAGCAGTGTGATAGTCTGATGCCTTTGTGAGTGTGTGTGCAGCAAACACATGCACATATGGACACTGTTTTCAAGACAAGCCACTCAACTGTCAGCTCGGTCTTATGTGGCAGATGAGGCGCTCAGCAATCTCAGTGACAGGCACAAGATGTCCCGGACTGCCAGGGGCGTGCACACTGACACCGACGCATGCACACACACACACCCTGCGTAATATTTAGCTCAAACAGATGCGCTCAGCTGCGAATCATGCCTACTGGTCAAATATATGTTTTTAGGGATGAACAGGTAGCTGTAGAGGACAAGGCCAAAGCAAGCGAGTGATCTCTTGACATTTTAACTAATCCCTTCAAGCTTGTGGTTTCTTGCACATTTGCGAGACTTGCTAGCAGCCAGAATTGGCTTTTTCACATATGCAACCTGTCATGTTGGATTGAACGATGACATGGTGCAGAGCGGGGATGTGATGGCTCGAACGCTGAAGTGGACTGTGATTGGATTTAAATGACACCACCGGCTCAGGGCTACTGGCCTTTCTGCTCGAGCTGTGGCTTTAGAAGTAGATTCTTTAACTGCTCTGGTGTCTCATACATTGGCAAACATCTCACCATGAAGCCAGCAGCGTTAACAAGACTTCCTGTGATAATGCATGAGCTGCCTCCCACTGACATCCTGCAGTAGTATTGTATTTGCACATATAAATCCTGTGATCAAAACATCTCTTGAAACAGACTTCAAAGTTTCTAAATATTTGAAAGTTTTCCAGGTGTTTGTTAGTGGTTTGCATGCTTCTTTGGTAAGGTGTTATTAGTCATAGTCCAACTTTGGAGCGACATTTAGGATTTCCTGTGACTCTGCTTGTTTGTTTATGCCCAGACAGGCCACAGTGGCATTGCGTGATGCGCGTGAGGGAGCAGGCTGTACCTGCCATGGCCCCCGTGTTTGGTGGCTCAGGGCGAACACACGGTACCTGTCAAAAGCAGTTAAAGCCCTGTTCAGCAGGCTGCCTTGCATGGCATCCCGTCAGACGCCAGCTGAACTTTTCACTTGTCAATTCTGAAAGGTTAGCGCTAAAATCAGCAGCGACAGATGCAAATGGATGGATGCTTTCCTGGCATTTTTGTGCAGGGATGCTTCATGTCACCTAGACCACCTTGTCTGCCCCCTCCTTCCCCAACCACTCTGTCATTGCCTCTGTTTAGCCCCTCTGTTCCCCTTTCAGAACAAATCCGTCTGCAGGGGCAATGAGACCTGACCCCTTCAGGTCCTCGGTAAAATTTGTTTGGGGTTTACTTTGTCCTAGATTGCATCCTCTTAATTTTCTTTTATTTAATCCATGATTAATCCAACTAATTTGATATCCTTTTAAAAGTTTACTTGGGATCACTTCCAAAACAACAGAGTTAAAGTTAATTTCCTAAAAATCATTTTCTTCCTGCTCTTCTCACCCTCCTTTTTTAGTGTATGCTATTTTTATTAGGTCAGGTTATATTTTAGTATTAAAAAAACAAACTGCACCACACACACCGAGGTGTCTGTTCACATGGCCATTTATACATTTGTGTTGTTATTCTATTCTATTTTGAAATAGCGTTTTATATTCTTATCTTATTCCATTTAAGTTTCTTTGCTAATTGTTTTACACCAAAACACCAAGTCAAATTCCCTTCATGTGTAAATTAACTATTCTGATTCTAATTATGCTGTGTTTATTGAACTTTGATCTTTTTACTTGAAAGAAACATGCATTTTAATTTGATTTTTGTCTTGTTTTATTTTATATTCTTTATTAATCCGAGAGGGATCATTTAAGTTTACACAGTGTTGTTGAGAGACATGCTACCCACACACACAGGCTGGAAATACTCGAACGCACAAACAGGACCTATGGACTTGCGTCAATGGAGTGATGTAAGAGTGAGGGACTGCACACAGGGGGCGCTCCTGAGCCGTTGGGGGGGTTTGGTGCTTTGCCTCGGCAGTGACTTGGCACCTCTCCGGAAACCAGATCAGTTTCCATACTTTGGTCCGTACCAGGACTTAAACAGGTGACTGTTGGGTTCCCAGCCGAAGTCTCTACAGACCTAGCCACTGCTGATAAATGAGAGCAAATGAAAAATGCCATGGGAAACACCCCGTTTTCCCGACTTGTGCGTGCATGCATGAATTGGAGCAAACATTAACAATCATGGGAATCACAAGCTCCTTCATTGTCCTGTGTTGTGCCAAAATTAAACAAATAAACCAAAATTTAAAATAATAAATGTATTTTGAAATGACAAAAAAAATTGTCAAGGAGGGCACATGGGTTAAATGTTACTATTGTTGTGATTCATTTAATCAATCATAGAAAATCATCTTTTCATACACTGGCACCTGATTTCATTTCAGGTGGAACTGAAGATGAAGTACAACGATCAGCACTGCAAGTCCAGAGGTCTTCTCCCAGGCAATCGCTGGTACGAGATCCAGGCCTACAGAGCTCTAAACCAGGCCCTCGGGAGGTAAATCAGTCCTCTGCAGTTTGTATGGTGTTTCGTTTGTTCTTTATCTTTTATACTTTAACCTTCAAACTTCTTTTTTTTCAGATGCATCCGCCACAAGAACGACTGGGGAGCCCTGATTCTAGTGGATGACCGGTACAGGAATAATCCCAATAAGTACATCACAGGTACACAGTGATGCACAGGATCTCAGCTTGAACACTAGATGGCAATAGTTATCCACTGTAAAGCTGTTGGTAGTGGGCATCTCTGTTTGATGTGTGTGTGTGTCTGTGTGATCTCAGGTCTGTCTAAATGGGTCCGTCAGCTCGTCCAGCATCATGACACCTTCGGCAACGCCATGCAGTCTCTGGTGGCGTTCTCTCAGGTGCAGCAGCAGAAGATGGAGGCCGCCCCTGCGGACAGTCAGACCCAGAGCTCTTCATCTCCAAATGGTCACACATGTTTACCTGCAGAGGGACAGAGTCTAACCAAGACGTCAGAACCACCGACACCACGCTCATGTGTGAATCCACCTGAACCCCCGAGCCCCTCGGCCTTCAGCTTTTTCTCTCATACACAGTTGAAAGCTGAACAAATAGGAAAAGCAGGTGAGCAAAAGAAGAATTTGATCAAAGAAACGTTGGTTCTGGGAAACTTTTCTCGACCCTCCTTATTGAATACTAATAATGTCACTCTTGAATTGATGATTAAATCTTGAGATCTCTTTTTTACTTTGTGTTAATATTCCCTCTCATGTTTGTACAAAAAACCAAATCAGCCAATAATGTACTTACTGACAGCATCATCAAACTGACTTAAACACACCTCATGTTGGAAATGAAGGAACTACAACATAATTTAACATTAAGAAACAGGTAAACTGGAGTGTCAGAAAGCCTAGCGGTTACGTCGCACCTCCCATGTACAGAGACAAAAGTCCTCGTTGAAGCGGCCATGGGTTCGAATCCAGCCATGGCCCTCTGCTACATGTCGTCCTCCGCTCTCTCCTCCCAACATTTCCCGTCTCTCTTCAGCTGCCCATAAAGGCAAAAGGGTCCAAAAAACAACTTTAGAAAAAAAATAAACAGGGACATAAACAGGACATCTCAAACATAACGTCATAGTACTGCATAATATATACAACTAAATAGTGTTTTACTACATTGACAATTAGCACTGAATCAAATCCAACAACAAAATTCTACTGAGATGAACTGGTCTGTTCATTAGACCAATATGCTAGACGAGTTTATTCATAGAGCATCATTCATTCAAAGAGCAACTCAAAGTGCTTTATTCAGTTAAAAAACAGAACATTAAGAACACCATTTAGCAAAAATAGGACATTGTAATATAATATAAGCCCAACAACTATTGTTTCCCCCACTTTTAAATTGCCTCTACTTCGGCCTAAGTCTTTATTAGAAAGGCTTTAAAAATTAACTTTGATTTAGTTTGATTAGTGGGCCTAAATTCCCTTAGTTTTTTCCAAATATCCTCTTATTGAGCATCAAACTCTTTACGCTCTATATTAAATGGGGCTTTGAACCCCTTTAGATTATAGATTATCAAGTGACAAGGATATTTGTCTAAAAAATACAAGACCTTTTGATGCCTTGAACATGTTTTGTGAAAATGTCAAAGTTTGGTTGAAAATCCACGTGGTTAGGTTTGGAAATAGATCATGGCTGAGCAAAAATAACATAGTATATAAATAGTGACCTTTGGTTTCACATGGGGCAGGAAGATCTCTCTTGCTAAAACCCTAAGGGGAGATTTCACCTGCAATCCAGACAGTCATGGAGTGTGCTGAAGCGTCCCTGGGTTTTATGGCCATAGGGTAGATAATGTGTTTTTAGGGAGTCAAAAACTTTAAACTAAAAATGACAAAAAACATCCAAACCCAAACAAATATATTAAATGATGCTTCACTCTGCCTTGCAACTATCTTAACCAAACTAATTCTATTGAATTAAATTGATGATATGGATGTGACAAAGATGGAGTTAATTATTTAACTGAAGCTGTCCTACTTAAGTTTGTTAAGGTTCCTCTGCTTCTTCCACTCTCTGGCCTGTATTTCTTTTTATTGTCTTTATTAATCACCCCGTTTAAACAGCTGGGTTTTTAAAAGCCAGCGATCTAAAAAGTGCATGTCATTTTTTTTTCCCTTGCATAAGAATGTGTGAGCATGACATCAGCCGGAGAAAACATGTTGAGGTGACGCCATTGCACATCGCAGTGGTGAGCACCCATTGTCTTTGGGGTCACGAAAAGGCTGAGCAGTTAAATCTGATGTGGTGCGGAGGGGTGGTGCAGAGCAGACCCCTCATAGTTGGGGGTGGGGGGATGGATGTTGGGGGTGGGGGCCATGGGATCAGTTGAGTGGCTTGCCTCATTACTGTAAGATCTTTTGCGTGCCTGAGTGGCGCTGGAGCGAGCTGATGAGCAGATGTTGGACTGTTGCTTTTAATTAAATCCACTTGACCTTTGTTTGGGTTATATTGAGCGTAAGCCCACATTTATATATTCTTTTACAAAACAGCCTCAGCAGCTATGCTACTCTGCATACCAGTCTCACTTCATTATGTGCTTAGCTATGAGTCTTCAAGCTTCTGGAAACCCAAATTCACGAGGGTTGGCACAATCCCAGAATTTTACACTTTGATATGATTCTAGTAAAAATCAGAAGATATCTATATCTGTTTCTATACCACAACAAACATAGTCCTAGGCACCCCATATTGGGTCATTTCTTGTTTTTAATTACCAAAAATGGCACACTCCTGCACACTGTCCACATTTTACAAATACTGCAAGGTTTCCGTTACCAGACGTTGAGCAAAAGTCTCTCCTTCGCTGCAGCTTTTGGTCAAAAATATGACAAAAGATCTGAAGTGTTTTAGACATTCGTTGTTTTGGATACTTTTAATCCTTAAACTGGGATTGTATTGTTGTTGTTGTTTTTAAATGTATTTTTGGAACCTTTAGCGTTTATAAGATAGGACAGCTGAAGAGGGACATGAAATGTTGGAAGGAGAGAGTAGAGGATGACAGGAAGCAAAGGGCCGAGGCCGGATTTGAACCCACTGCTGCTGCGACGAGGACTACAGCCTCTGTACATGGGGCTTCCAACATAACCGCTAGGCTTCCAACGCTCTCTGATTGTATTGTTTTGAACACATGGTATCAAAAAGTATACTGAAATAAACTGAAAAGAAATAGAAAGCCCACATATTCTTGAAAAGGGTCTAAACAGCTAAATGAGCTGATTCTCGTTTTCAACCATCAGTGAACATCTATTTTTACAAAGATTATTGTGAATGTCTTATTATACATGTTTACCTTGATATCATAAATGCATGTTTACCATTCAAAGTAATATTTCCAGAGGCTTTAAAATGTTATTTCTAGTAAAGTCTGTAAAATGTTGTTTTCTTGTTGTAGGGTGTTTGAAGACGATAAAAAGCCCCCCAGCAGAGACCAGATCACATCAGAAAAGCAAAGCCCCGCCTCTGTACAGCATCTTCACCTCCAGCCCCGTCAGCACCCGCTTCAAGAAGCCAATCTTCAAAGAAAAAACAGCCCATAACTCTAACCAACACCTTGAATCATCAAATCATTCTGAGAACGAAGAGAAACTGCTGATCTCTGAGGCGGCTTGTCTGAAACAAGAGACACCAGACTGTTCCAGTGAAATCAAAATGAAACCAACCAATCTGTCCGTAGAGTCCCCTCCCAGCTGTGAAGGTGAGCCACCCTCAGCACAAGATCTCGATGAAGATGAAGAGGACGAGACCATCTTTTTTACTCCAGAACTTTTCGAGGGAGAAGAGAATGAGGGCAGCCCACAGAAGGAGACAAAGACTCCTCAGAAGACAGACCCTGCCCTGCTGTCAGAGGAGCGAGGGCAGGCGTCTGTTTGGAATGAGCAGAGTGATAGTTCAGTCAGGAAGGAGGACACAGAGCCGTCACAGGGGCAGAAAGAAGAAATCAACGCAGAGAGGCAATCTGAGGAGGGAAAGCAAATAGAGCACCAGATCAGGCAGACAGAGAATAAGCTTCGCAGACTCTCCAGGTCCAGACAGAAAGCTCCCTCCACTCCTACAGGTAACTAACCACCTGGGGAAAATAAATTATGTGAACAAAGCAGAGTGTCTGACATGTAAATAAAAGCCAACAACTTGATCAACAAATAAAGTGCTAACAACATGTTAAATGTATATAATAGTGAAAAGAAAGTGTTCCAATCATAATACACTACTAGAGTTCATTTCATTTCTGCACAGTTATAATCATTTTTCATTGCTGCTTTTTCACATTTCATCTTTCAGAATTATCCACTCGCTGCACATGCATCCACACTATTTTGTTTGAGTTTTAAAACAAGTTTTAAATAGAAGAAAAAAATGAATTCTGTCCGGGCATGTGTTTTAGAACAGTTTCAGAACTAAACGTTTAGAGGTTTGATTTCTGAAATCACATATAACCTGACCATTCACTTACAATGGGGATACAGGCTGTAGTTTTCTGATTCACAACAGGGCTTATTATGCCACGGGACACGGGAATTGCTCGTATACCACCACCACCACCTCCCGCACATACAGGAATTATTAAGATAATAAAATACAGTGTTTCCCCTTCCATTATATTAGGGGGGCGGCCCGTCAACTTTTTTTAAGATTTATTTTTGTGCCTTTATTGTAGACATATGATAGCTTCCAATAGAAAAGGACAGCTGTCATTAAAAGTAACCCATGAACACCAAGATTCCTTCAAGTGTTTGTGCCGGCGTGTCGCCCCCCCGCCACGCTGTAAACCTAGGGGAACCACTGAAATATAGAATTGAAATGTCAAACAACAGCAAGCATAAACAACAAGGTCATCATCAGACCATCACTTAGTTCATTATGTTCATCATGGCTGATGTTTGTTTTCTGAGTTACATAAAAACAAAGGGAAGTGACAAATCAGAGAGAATATGTTTGCTTCCAGAGTTTAAAATGCTGACGCTTTGAAGTCTCATATGGACGCCCACGGTATTGTTTCTTGCGGGTCACAGTGCAGCGAAAGGTAGCTCATGTCTTTCTTCCTCTTTTCTTTGGTTAACATCAACACTCTGTTTGGCTGATTGTAGGCCAATAAAACTACATTTTAAAGATGATAAAAACATGATGGGGTACAGTATGTTTAAGAATGACACTAAACACAAACACATCATGGTGGACGTCCTGTGCTGTTCCTACCTCTCTGTGTTGATACTACATCACCATCAGCTGTTTCTTTGGGTGTTTTATTTTGTCCGTCTGATATGTTTAATTTCTCCTGCTGATGCTGAAGGTTACTTTGAGGGCTGTGACTGAACAGCTGTATTGATACGTTATGAATCAGGACAGACTGAACACTGCTCGTTCACATTTAAGTCTGACTTATACTTCTGCGTTGAATCTACGCCGTAGCATGTTCTGTAGGTTTGTGTAGCCCTTTACCTACATAGAACCCTATGTACAAAGCCTGACATGCACCTCTTCAAACATGTAACTACGAGTCAAAAAGACGCACACCACAAGCCCTGTGATTGGTCCGCTGGGTCGCATCGTATTTCCTGCATTTCGATATCCCCGTCCTCTGCCTCAACTGATTCAGCGGCCATACATTCCATCTCCTCCGACGTCTCCTCTCCTCTCTGCAATAATAACAGTATAATCAACTTCTACTTAAAATGTATCAGCTCCAACTCCAACATCGCACACTTGGTTTTGGTCCCCATGGTTTCTTGTACACAAAGAAACAGCGAATGTGGCGAGAAGGGAAACTGGCAATATACTGTAGTTAGCATAGAAATTGCATTCCCAGCTAGCGATCGTTAGCGGAGTATTACAAAGCTACACAAACGCACCAATGTTCTCATGGTGTTGTACGCCACTACAGCTAAGCCACTAAGGTGTAGACTCTAAGCAGATGTATAAATCAGGCTTTAAATACAACTCCAGAGTCTCAAACAGGGTCAGCAGCATTTCAAAAGAAAATCAAATCAAACATGTCACTGTAATCATGTGTGGTTTTTTTTAGCATCAGAGAGTGTCACAGCTCCTTACACGACAGGCACACCCACTCCTCCACGTGCACCCGGGAGATGATGAGGCGCCAGTCATTTAAGATCAGCTGCTCATCCAGAGTGACAGCACATCTTATTAAGGCCATTCTCAGTTAGAAACACAACTAACAAAGAGGAATGGAATAGCAGCGCTGATTGAACATGCGTTTTAACAACTCATTAAAATACAAAGCCATAAAATTATTTTTGTTTTCAGCAGATAATCAGTTAATACTCCTTTAATGATGTGTTTGTAGAATAAGGCCGAGGAATGTGGGCGCTTTAGACATGCCCCACTCAACCTTTCAATTCCAATTCCAGTTGTGTAGTCATGAGCTGCAAACGTAAATGGTACGAGTGTGTGAACACAAATGCACCTCCTAATATCCATATACAGTCGGCTAGGTCAACATAGATTTAGATTTCTAATTTTCTAAGGCTGAAGGGAAGCGAAAGGTGAAGATGAGTACGGCAACCAACTGATTTGGTCGTAAATAAAGAAAGAAAACCGTTTTATAGGAAAGCACAGGCAGTAGAAAGTTTCATATTTACTAGGACTTGACATTATCTTCAATAAATACATAAAGGATTTTGGATTTAACAAACGGATATTTGCAAACCAGATTCAACTGCGTGTGCAACTCAGCCTTAATATGTTGATATTTTTGTCAACATTTTTCATCAATGAGGGGCACACTCAATGTCCCTAAAAGTAAACCAGGACCCTCCCTGAAACATTTTTAACACCATCTAAACATAAAGACTTCCATTATTGAGGGGTTATGACAGGATTGTTTTAGTTTAGACCTGAAAAACTTAAATGAGTTCTGGTATATCTCTGCTTAAAAAGCTGAACCTCTATTACAATATATGTTAAATCCTTTTTATTATCAAATAAGAAGCCCATCATTTTATCTTAATGCTTTAAACTCACTTAAAAATATCATAACCAGTCATTTTTTTGTATAGTTAAAATATTTTTAGTCCTTATTTTCAGTTCTTCATAATTCACAGATATTTAGACTTGAACCTTTACATCTGTATTTTATTCATGCTTGACAACAACAACAGGGATTATTTTGTGACCTGAGCAATACAGTAGTTTGTGTGATCAGCGCTTTAATGGCCACATTTGATTGTTGGAGTCTGAGGAGCTGAGGTCATTTAATCAAGCTGATGCTAAATGCACAATCATCAAACTGGCCGGGCCGAGGGGAGACAGAAAAAGGAGATTAAACATGATTACGCTGATGTGATTTGTCTCATTACAGCTCAAACTTCACCAATGTGTGATTTGCACAGACGAGCAGAGCAGACAAGTGTTCCATTAAAGCCTTTCTTTGCTCATCAGCTGCCTTCCCAGGACCCCTTAATCGTGCATGACCACTCGTTAACATCATCAGGACACAGAGCGCGGAGAGGAGAGGCCAGGGAATGTGTGTTAAAAGCACTTAATAGGAAGCCTGCATTACTGAAAGACTCAGTAATGGCTGTGTATGAATGAATGCTTTTTTCCCGTTAGACTAATTTATCCTTTCCGCCCGACCCCGAATCATTAAAGCTTCACATTTTTATTTAAAGAAATGAACCAGACTTGACCACGATCACAAAGTGGAAAAACAAAAATGTTTTGCATCATCATCAATAAAAATCCCAAAGATTAACAATGTTTTTGCAAAGATTTAATTCTGGATATGGATTGGTTAACAGAATCAAAATACAGGACGGAGTTCAAACTCCTGTTTCTTCACAACGTTTGAACCTCTCTTAAATCACAGCTCATTTACAGGATGGTAAAATTGGTTTATTAGTTAGATAATAAATAGATAGAGATAATAGTTAATAAGTGATAACATGAAATTAAAGTAGTCGCATAAACTTTGTATTAGGAATAAGTAAATCTGGGATTACACTGAAATGTATGTAGGGAGATATAGGTTCATAAATTCTCAATATCATCGACTATCAGGTTCAGGTTACTTTATTTGTACCCGTAGGTAGATTTGTTTGCATCCATCATGACACAGATTACAGAACTGACATGAAATGACATGTAAAAATCATGAAAGTCAAAATCTATAAATAGATAGAAAAATAGAAATCCTTTATTGTCAGTGCACATTAAACAGCGAAAAAATGTGAGAGAGAGCACTATCTCTTCATCTTCTTTACCAACTTCTTAATACAATTTAGACGCTGTGCAGGAGTTCACCTGACAATAATAAGACAAGAAATTATCCAATCATGGGTGTCTAGGACTTCTATTTTTGTTGCCATGGTTTTGAAGCAGTATCAATATTGTTTGCTTTTTACTAGCATCGTCTCTCAGTAAGAAAATCTGGTGTTTTGACAACCCTAGTCTCATTGGTACCTGAATGTGACCTTCATTTAAAAAGCCACAGTGGTCTTACAAACAGTGCTTTTGGGTCCCAGAGACCCACATTGTTGTTGTTGACTCTGCCAGTCTGTCATTCTGCCCAATGCAGATGTAAAGAAATAACATGAGAAACTCTGATCATACTGTAACAGCATGTGTGTTTTGCTAATTATGCAACTCGATGTGAATTGACAGGTAGAGGCGATGAGGTGAAGAGCGTAGGGAGAGTCAGTCTTCAGCAGATTGAGACCAGGAGCAGCCAGAGGAACAAAGAAAAGGCAAAAACAGACCAAGAATGTTTGAAGAGCAGACCATCCAAAGTCAGACCAGTCAGAGAAAACAGGTCAAAAACTAAGAATACATGTCTACCAGAGGATCAGGATGATAGCTGGATTACCTGCAGACACTCAGAACAGATCTTAAAACCAGGTGTGAACAGCAGAGTGACTGAAACAGGAAAGCCTTCTGATGGTTTAAAGGAACAAAAAGCTCTCAAAAATGTGCCCACCACACCTGTTGGTTCAGCAAGGATCGAGTTTGACATCATTACCCCCAAACAAGAGGGCACACAGAGTCTGCATGAAGCTGGAGCAGCAGGATGTTGTCCTGTAAATCCAGGTGCGGATGGTGAAGGAAGACAGCAAACAAAACCTAAAGGTAAGGCCTTCAACATGCAATCCTGAAAATGTGTTGATGCATTTCAGGACAGTCGCTCCTGAAATTCTTGGGAGACAAGCCATGATGTAAAGAGGATGCAGCCAAAGTCACAATATTGTTTACATCATATCCAAGATAATTATAATTTTTCCTTTAATAATCCCGACAGTGGAAATTCAGTTTTACACTCTGTCTAATGAACATGCTACACAAACATAGGCTGAAATACACACACATGCACAAACAGGATCCTATGGACATGCATTAATGGAGAGGTCTCAGAGTGAGGGGGCTGGAGCTGCGAGCGCTCCAGAGCAGTTTTGGGGTTTGGTGCCTTGCTCAAGGGCACCTCGGCAGTGCTCAGGTACCTCTCCAGCTACTAGACCAATTTCCGGACTTGGTCCGTGCCGGGATTTGAGCCGGCGACCCTCCGATTCCCAGCCCAAGCAATAACTAATTGGACATATTCTTGGATTTTCCTGAATATTTCCCTGCTGCGGTCGCACATTGGTTAACCCCGTCTCCATGCAAACTTTTAATAGAGACCTGACAGATGTAAAGGTTCAGTCTGGATAAATTCAGAGTGAAAAATTCATCAATTTGTGTCTATCAATCCTGTATCACTTACATTTCAGGAGTAAATGTAACCCACTAAGCCTGCCGCGGCCTCAGACTGTTGCCCAACTGTATAACTAAATCGCCGAACTCTATCGAGCTTCAGAGCATCCCTAACACTGAAGTTTTAATCAGACAGGAGTCACTGAAATGTTAATTGTTTACTCAGTTACAGTCATTTAGGTTACCTTATCAAGGGCAACATAGCAATGTGATTACACCAGTTTATTGAATAGAATTTGATGCAATGAATTTTATTTACTTAAGAGGCATTTGCATACAGATTATGTTTTTCAAATGTTTTCTACACCGAGATGTGACTTTCAGAGCTAGTACATGTTCTGGTGCTTTAAGGGAGCTTCTAATAAAGCAGAAAAGGATGTCTCATCCAAGACGTGACTCGATGTTTTTGTACTTCGGTACTCTAAGCATGAATTAATCTCAATTTGATTATTCAGGGAGCTGCAATTTTACTTACTGCAATGATGTTAAATATCACTTAATTATGTATTTTTATTCCAACCAAGCCATCAGAGTACAGCGAGCCTGCAGGAAGAAACGTAGGAGATTTAACAACACGTCTCCAAAAAGAAATGCACTCGGAGGTCAGGTACTACTTCTGGTACCCCCACCCCCCTCCTGGGCCTCTGACCCAGGAGGGGGGTGGCGTATTAACATTCAGAGATTTTTATTCCACTTTGATGGAGACATCTGTTATGAACCTGTGAAATGTATTGAACATTTCTCTAAATGCCCCCATATTTAAATACATATACCTTCTCTATTCCTCTCGACAGTTTTATGTAAATTGAAAAAAATAGAAAGATAAACATAGATAACTACTCATCCTACAGCTGTTTCTTTTATCATTTAACTTCAGCACTCACCCCCATGCCCACCTGTTTTTTTAATTTTTACTCTGATACCTCTCACTGAACACTCATTCATTTAAACTATTTACTTTGTTGTTCACTATGTTTTTTTCTTTTTCTTTTATGTTTTTGATGTTTTTTTATCTTTTAGATTTATTTGTTTGTCTTTGTTTTTGTAGATTTTGTCATTAAGTATCTTCTTCCTGCATTTCCCTGTCACGTAGTCTTGTTATTGTGTCTCTTTCGTGATGCACTCTTCTTGTACAATTAAATAAAATAAAATAAAATTACTCTAAATATCCTCAAAGATGTTTCTTTAAGGGATTCCTAAATGTTCGTATTTAAACTTTTTCTTCATCGTTTAGAGAATCAGAGAGCAGAAGCCGTGCTCTTTGGGACTCTACTGCTCCTCGTGTGAGATGGAATTACTTCCTCTGGTGCATGGTAACTTCTGAGAAACTTTAGCTAACTAATACAAATCAAACCTTTACCTAAAGTCAATGTGTGATTAATGCTTTGATACATTTTCACTGTTTTTTCAGATGCATTAGGACGCGCTGTTTGTGAATTTAAACCTCTCTCTATTCTGAGTAAAAACACATCCAGTGCTGCAGCATCGAGCTGCCGCTGCGTGTGTGAACCACATCAGCCATCAGTTCAAGACAACTCACTGCTGGTGGTCCGAAGTCTCACGTCTCTGGAAGCCCTACGGTCTTCTCTGCAGCCCTATTCTGATGACAGCTTAACTGGTGAGTTGGAAACCGGATTGAGATGGAATAAAAATAAAGAACAATTGATTGTAGCTTATCATGTTATACACAGGGAGTCACTAAGCGCTTAATGGTGTTCATCTCAGTATTAAATAAAAAATATATGTAATTTAATCAGGAACTTATTTTGAGCTTGTTCAATAAGAGAAATAAACGTACAAGCCAGCAGACAGACAAAAACAAATATTTACAAACAATGAAAAGTATAGTAGAAAATAAATAGTCAAACACTTGATGATTTACAAGCAAAAAAAAGAGCGGGGGAAAAGTATAAACAAAGCTGCAACCTCGGGTCTTGAAAAGTGAAGCCAATGTGGAAGTGAAAAATCCTGCAGTTTGCCAATTGTCCACTTGAGGCTGGCTCCAGGAGCCCCAGAGGTCACAAACCACAGCCAAAGAAAAAGTTTTTATGAATAAACATGTTTACAGCCTGGTACAAAAAACAAAATAGGTCTGATTAGTTATTGTTCTCATGGGCACACACTGTACGGGGGGTGAATATGCTTTGCTTAGTGTACTTTCAAGATGCCTTCATATAAACGTCAGCCAAAAAGGTAGAAATAAGTAAAAACATGATAAACCAGTAATTTCACCTCCCAGAACACACACATTGTTTGTCTCCTGCTGCACACCTCAGTTGGTGTTTTGCATTAAAAAAAAGGCAAAATGGGAAGCACTGGAATAAACGTTAAACACAAACTTTCACTTCTTCTTTTTACAGAAAAGTTTCTTCCTTGTTAAGTTTATTGACATGCTTTCCCACTACTTCTCCTTTGTGCAGCGTATAATGCCATCTGGAACCCCGAGGAGGGCTCCGTCACCAGATTTCTGCAGTGCAAAGGCTGTTTGTCTGAACACCCCGCTCGGTCTGCAGCTTTCATTGCAGTGGAGCTCCAGTACCCTCGAGACAACAGCCAAGATCAGGTAAACTTTCAGAAAGAATGACAGGACAGTCTATGAGACGATTAATCTCACAAACTGTTTAACATACAGTACAGACCCACATACAATAAGATAGAAGACCCCCGGGAATGGGCATCTTTATAGGAAAGTGATATGCTGAAACCAAGCGGCTTGAAAAATGAAGCCAATGTGGAAGTGCAAATTCCTGCAGTTCCTCAAGTGTCTGCTTGAGGCTGGCTCCTGGAACACCGGAAGTCACATACACACAACAGGCAAAAAAGCTTTAATAGCATAAATAAACATGTTTACAGCCTGGTACAAAAAACCAAATAGGTCCGATTAGTTATTGTCATCACTGGCACACACTTAACCGGAGGGGGTGGGATGTTTTGTTTTTTTTGTTTTTGTTTTTTTAAACGGCTCCGTTTTGATTTTGAAATGATAAGTGTTATCCATAGTTAGGCGCGTAGCTGACATGATTGACTGGTGGGTGGGATGTAACGGTTTGTCAAGAGGCTTAAAAACCTGCCTCATCTCCAGCTCTAAGCCTGTCTTTAGGTTGACTGAAAGTTAGGCTGAGACAGGATTTCCAACATTGCTGCTGCTGATGATCCTCTGGAACCGCCTGCAGTAACAGATGGCTGACGTCACTCAGGCTTCATCCATCAATGTTTACAGTTTATGGATGAAACACTTCCATTAAGGCTTTTATTTGCCTCGGTCTATAAAATGATCCTGATGTTGCAGTTCATATTTATTTTTTGTGTCCCGCTGCTTTTAGTCCTTATTTTCGATCCGCAAACTTTTTCAGCACTAAATGAATTGGAGCTCCTAAATGAGACCTTCCTTTATTTTATTTTCCTGTTAAAGGTGTGTTGATATAGTACCGTATTTTCCGCACTATAAGGTGCACTTAAAAGCCTTTAATTTTCTTAAAAAACGACAGTGCGCCTTATAATCCGGAGCGCCTTATATATGGATCAATTGGTTAATTGGTTGATCCATACTGGTTGTACACGGTGTTCAGCGACACTGACTCGGATAATGACGAGAGGGAGCCGGGCATGTTGGATGCCGTACTCGCCCAACTGTTCAATTCGGACACTGAAGAAGAATTCGAGGGATTCGTGGACGGGGAATGAACTGAAAAAGTGAGCTTTACGTGTTATACGTAACTGAACAATGTTGAGTTATGCACTAACGCAGGGGTGCCCAACCTTTTTTGAACCAAGATCTACTTTTAAAGTTACCAGTCTGCCGAGATCTACCAGTCCACATAGTGAGCCATAGCCTTTACCAACAGCCTACAAACGCATTTAATACTCACACAACAAACAGAAAATAATAAATGAGAGTTCTGTAAAAAAATAATGCAGACTACAGACTACAGCAGGCTGCTGTGAGATGATTTTGCTTTTGTTAAATTAGCTGCAGACACGGTGAGAGTGAACGGAGTAAAGTCCAACCCACTGTTTGACCGGGTCACGTGTGTTCCCACCTCGGTCCGTACGGATCACGGATCAACTGTGTGCTGTAGCACAAAAAGTAAAAAGTAAAAAGGTTCGCGTGGTGGCTGGCGCTCCAGTGCAAGTGTGCAATGAGATGAAATTGAAATCACTTTTCTATTTTACAATTGTATTTTATATTGACAAAACATCTCGATCGACTGAGAATCAGTCAGCGATCTACCTGTCGATGGCGATCGACTGTTTGGGCACCCCTGCACTAACGTTTGAATTAGCGGTATCAGACTGTGTTTCTTTTACGTGTTTACAACTGAACAAGGCTGGGAGATATTGTGAATATGCACATTAACGTTTGAACAACGTTGAGTTATTGTGAATGCACTACGTATAAAACTACGTTTTGAGAGTTAAGAGAAACGTCAAAGAAATAATTTATTATTTGGGGAAATCGTCTTATGTACTTTTGTTTTTGTAGTTTTATACGTTACGTTTTATACGTATTTATATTTATATATTCACAATATCTCCCAGCCTTGTTCAGTTGTAAACACGTTCTATTCTATGTGCCTTATAATCCGGTGCGCCCTATATATGAAAACAGTTCTAAAATAGGCCATTCATTGAAGGTGCGCCTTATAATCCGGTGCGCCTTATAGTGCGGAAAATACGGTAATTAAAACTTTATCTTTGTGGAGTTTATTACACCACATCTCTCTCTCTCTCTCTCTCTCTCTTGCTTGAGCTGATTTTCCTTGACTGTGTTTTTGACATTTGCCTTCATAGTTCTTCCCTCTGTTTTGATCGATTGACCTCATAAAGTAGAATCTTTATTGAAGCTTTTAGTAAACAGACAACAACCCACAGTCTGACTCTTTTCTCCTTAGTGTCGTGACATGCGTTAGAACGTTCAGTGAGGATCTCTCACTCGGCAAAACTTGACGACTTTCACCATATTTCACGTTTAAAAAAAAAAGATGGCTTGTTTTGACAAAAAAAGGAAGTCTGGGCCGTAACTTTGCTAATCTGGATGGGATTATATTTGGAGTTTTGCGGTGATGCATGGGTACACGATTGTTTGTTTTTAATGAATGTTTGAGTTTTTTGTAGTAGTTCTACATCCCTGATACGTGCTGATAGTTTGTTCCAGGAATGTGTAGCTCAACAGACGTCACCTTTTCACCGTTAGTCCCACACCTAGGTAGGTTCATAACAGTCTCCTGTAGTTGGTGCTCTGGCATTTATCCTGCTGTTGTATTTTCACAGCAGGGTTTGAAAGTTCTAAAAATGTCCATAACAAAACAGAAATGCCTCCATGCCGTGATTACTCTACATTTATCTCTCTTTTTTTTGATAAGTGTTGATGTGAAAAAAATAAAAATGAAAAAATAAAAAAATAAACTTGGTCCTCTAACTTCTCATGCACAAAGGCTGTGGCAGGAGGCCAATTTCAATCAATAACCACTCCCACCCCTCCATAATCCGATTTACAGTCATCACAGGACAAAGTATCCCAGCTTCTATAAACGTCTCAGCCAGTTTTTTTTATTGCCTCATTGATTGTTAACACTGAAACTGTTTTAAATGGTTTAGTTTACAGGCTTGAGATGCCTCGGTGCATGTGCCTATACGGGAGTGGTCTTTGTGTTCAGCAATAGATAGACAACCAGTCTGTTTTAGTACTCGGGAAGCATACATATGTATCTTTTGTTTGGGGCGGGGGGGGGGGTTACAATCTGAAGAATGTATTTATATATCTGGTATAGAGTAGTAAATGACTGTTTCAATAAATACAGTATTTCACTAAAGATTTCTACAATATCATCTAAATAGTTAATTTATCTTGAAGCCTGCACATGAAAATCTGTATTTGAATTTTGTTGTTTTTTTGATCAAAAACAATTCACTCGTAATTTTTTAGTAAAAAATAATCCGCCTAACACTGACGTTAATTATTGATTTTTCTGATATTGGGTGCCACTTACAATCACCACCCTCATGTCAATAAAATTACATTTCTGTACCAATCAAAACTGACACAGTAGCCTGGAGTGCCCTCTAGTAACTGTGGAGGATTATCTCTGCGACCTGTCAGATTAAAAAGATTAACCCTGATTGACTTGTAAATTCAGGTTAAACTGTAACTTTCCAAACTCTGTGCTACTTTCAGATCTGAAATCATCTCAGACAAATATAATTTTTTTCCTATGAAAAAATAAACCAGTAACACATTTTATAAACAATATTTTCCTCGTATAAAACTCCGTAACTTAAGACACATTTATTTTTGCTTGTTAACATCCACCATCCTTATTAGCCGCAGGTTGGAGGCTGACAGGTGCTGGTACAATTAATGGGGAAAAAAACATTTGTAAGGTGAGATAAAAGTTGCATGAACACTTTGATTTTTGTATAAATAACTGAATTTGAATATGCTGAGCATGCTGTAAGTAAAGAAGTATTTTAGATTTGGACCTCAGTTAAGTTATCGTTAGCCGCTTCTGTCACTTTAAGCATCTCATCCACATCAGTGACTATCTGCTGACATGTCTTAAGGTTACAAACCGCCCAACATTGCCGTGCATTGAGTCCATATTTTGTGTAATAGAATAATCCTCGCCTCTTTCATGTGTACAACATTATGTGAAGATGAAGGACATGTTTGTGAAATCGCGTCCACATCTTGTGCCATCTGGATCACAGTGTGAATCGGACTAAGCCCACAGCTGAACGCACGCCACTGCCCCCCTCTGCTGTGAGGGCTTTAGGACACACTTTGTTTCAGCCTTTGCGTTTTTTCTTGGACCTTCGCATGAGGAGCTCGCATGAGGCCTTTTCAAGTTCCTGCTGTTCAGCTGTAAAATTGGCAGACACCATATTGCATGTAAAGCTTTGGAGTCTGTTTGGGTAAAATCACCAGACACCCAAACTGCAGTCTACATGCAGTCCAGTTCACAGACCTCAACACTCTCTGCGTGGGGCCTGACACATTCACAACAACTTCATCGGCGTCATCGATCCATGCCATTTTGACCCGTTAATCTCAATTGGTCATAGTTGTCATAACACCCCCTCCCCATCATTTATCACTTTGTTATCAGTGCCAAAACATGTCATTCCTCATCCCTCCAACACCTGCTTTCAAATCTTTATACCCAACCTGCCATCATAATTGCATATAGTGACTGCGGGAGGAATTACATTAATAATTGTTCATCTTCACATAATAGGGCAGCGCGCAGACACCATGTGTGTGTTAATGTGCTTTGTTGCAGCACAGATTGGAGGCTTGCAAGCTCTGATAGTGACCTTTCATAAAAAGCAATAATCACGCCTCAGTGGTTATTAAAGATGATTATTTTCATCTGAGCGGTTTATTTGTAGCTCAAGAACATGCTTAAGTAACATGTTAACTGATGTATACAGTCTCCCTGATGATTTGAAGTTTGAACTCTGAAGTTGAATCATTTTTTATTTATGATGTTTCTAGAATATCTGTGCAACTATTCATTTCCAAAAGAAGGGTGTAAATAACTTTTAATATCTGCAGTTTCATGA